TATGAAATAAAAAACAAAACAATAAAAATGTCTGAAGAAAGTTAAGTCTATTTTAGGACAGTTACGATTTTTGGAGAAAAAAAATTAATGACAAGTAAGTACATTTTCCAGTCTCATTCTTCTTATGTGTTTTATTTTTGAATTTACTTTAAAAAATACTGTAATGCAATGATTAATTCTCATTTTATTTGATTTTTTATTAGAATCACCATGAATTAAAGTACAACAAATACAACCATGATGTATAATTAATTAAACATGTATATTATAAAGAAAGAATGTGAAAAATAAAGAATGTGTAGCCTATTTTAGGACTATTACAATTTTTTGGATAATATATATATATTTTTTGACAGATAAGCACATTTTCCACTCATTCTTATTATAATATATTTGCACGTTTTACTTGAATGTATTAAAGGTCACATATTATACACCTTTGTGGAGTTTTATTTTAGGTTTTGATGTCCTTAAGAATATATATTTGCGGTATAAGTACCAAAAACCATCTCAATATATTTTTTATATATTTTTGTTAAATGTGAGCCAAAATCATCACAATTAAAAGAACCAAAGACTTAAACTACTTCAGTCTGTGTGCATTGAATTTATTTAATACACGAGTTTCACAATTTGAGTTGAATTACTGAAATAAATGAACTTTTCCACGACATTCTAATTCATTGAGATGTACCTGTACATGCAGTATATATAATGTATATGTATATTAGGGGTGTCCCCGATGAAGGATTTACATAGTCGAATCGAAATTTTCGAATCTTGCCGATAGTCGACTGATAGTCGAATCATATGTTTTGGGGCGGGGATAAAATACATTACCAAGAGTTAAGTCAGACATTCGACAGTCATAATTACTGACGTTAACACACAGGGGAAATGTGTAACGGACGCCTCGCAAATACAAACGGGGTAAATAATGTTTTTTTTTTTTTATTAAATTTACATTTATTCATTTAGCAGACACTTTTATCCAAAGCGACTTACAATTGGGGAATACATCAAGCGATTCATCTTAAAGAGGCAAATAGCACATGAGTTTTCAGCTGTCGCTTGAAAAATGTCAGGGAATCAGCATTCCGAATAGAGGTTGGAAGATCATTCCACCAGCCAGGAACGGTAAACAAAAATGTTTTGGAAAGTGATTTTGTGCCTCTTTGTCATGGCACCACGAGGCGTCGCTCACTAGTGGATCTCAGACTTCTGGAGGGGATGTAGATTCATAAGAGTGACTGAAAGTAGGTGAGTGCTGAGGCTGTTCTATATGCAAGCATCAGTGTCTTGAACTTAATGCGAGTCGTAACCGGCAGCCAGAGCAGGGCGATAAAGAGAGGTGTGACGTGGGCTCTTTTGGCCTTGTTAAAGACCAGTCATGCTGCTGCATTCTGAATCATTTGTAAAGGTTTGACTGTGCATGATGGAAGTCCAGCCAGAAGAGCATTGCAATAGTCCAGCCTAGAAATTACAAGGGCCTGGACAAGAAGTTGTGCAGCATGCTCCGTTAGGAAGGGCCTGATCTTTCTGATGTTGTGCAATGCAAACCTGCAAGATCTAGCAATTTTTGCAATGTGGTTTTTGAAAGTCAGCTGGTCATCAAAGATTACACCAAGATTTCTGACCGTACTTGATGGGGTAATTGTTGATGAACCTAACTGGACGGTGAAGTCATGCTGTAGATTTGGAGTGGCCGGGAAGACAAAAAGCTCAGTCTTTGCCAGGTTGAGCTGTAGATGATGTTCGTTCATCCATGCCGAGATGTCCACTAGGCAGCCTGAGATCCGTGCAGCTACCGTTGGATCATCTGGTTGAAGTGAGAGATTAAGCAGCAGATAGATCCAGCAAAATAAGAACTGATGATTTGGAATCAGCTTTTGCAATCCGCAGGGCTTCAGTGACTGACAGTAGCACAGTCTCAGTTGAATGGCCACTCCTGAAGCCTGACTGGTTAGGATCCAGGTGGTTGTTCTGTGTAAGGAATAATGGTATCTGGTTAAAAACTCGTTCAAGTGTTTTTGCTATAAAAGGAAGGAGAGAGACACGTCTGTAGCTATCTGTAAGTGAAGTGTTTAATGTAGGTTTTTTGAGCAGTGGGGTTACCCGAGCCTGCTTGAATGCAGTGGGGAAAGTGCCTGTGAGAAGAGATGTGTGTGAGTGGTGGTAAAAGTGTAGGGGAGATTGCTTGGAGAAGGTGTGAGGGGATTGGGTCTAGTGGGCATGTAGGATGGCTGGAGAGGAGAAGTTTGGATACTACGCTTATTGGCCCAGCAGGACCTGGTTCTCGGAGCTTGTGCTCATGGCATCAGTTCCTCCCTGGCGAATTCCCCTGAGGAAGGACCTACTTTCTCAGGGGAAGGGCACAATTTGACATCCGCGCCTCTGGAACCTTCATGTTTGGTCCCTGGACGCGACCAGGAGGAACTCCGAGACCTTTCACCAGCAGTGGTGAATACCATTACTCGGGCCAGAGCCCCCTCGACGAGGCAGCTGTACGAACTGAAGTGGCGCGTTTTCATGAATTGGTGTTCTTCCCAGGGGAAGGACCCTCGGAGATGTGGCATCGGATCTGTGCTATCCTTCTTTCAAGGAGGCCTGGACAGGCACCTGTGTGCTTCTACACTTAAGGTGTACATGGCCGCGATTGCAGCTAACCACGACACCGTGGGAGGCAGATCGATGGGGAAGCATGATCTGGTTATTAGGTTCCTCAGAGGCGCCCGGAGGTTGAACCCTCCGAGGCCACGTCTCATTCCCTATTGGGATCTCACTGTGGTCTTGCAGGCCTTACAGAGAGATCCGTTGAGCCCCTTCAGTCAGTTGAGTTCAGTGCCCTCTCTATGAAGACGGCCCTCCTGACTGCGCTCACTTCTGTCAAGAGGGTTGGGGATCTTCAAGCCCTCTCCGTTAACGAATCATGCCTGGAGTTCGGGCCGGCAGACTCCCGTTGTCTCACGAGACCTCAGCCTGGATATGTGCCCAAGGATCCCACCACTCCTTTCAGGGACCAGGTGGTAACATTGCAAGCTATCCCCTTCCAAGAAGGGGACCCCGACCTGTCCCTGTTGTGCCCAGTGCGAGCCCTACGCACATACCTAGATCGCGCTCAGTTTCAGATGTTCTGAACCGCTCTTTTTCTGCTTTGGAGGACAGCAGAAGGGGAATGCTGTCTCCAGACAAAGGATCTCCCACTGGATTGTGGATGCAATCCTAACGGCCTATCAGGCCAGAGGCCTACCTTGCCCACTGGGAGTGAGGGCTCACTCTACCAGGGGCATGGCTGCATCAGCAGCCCTGGCGAACGGGGCCTCTCTAGCAGATATCTGTAGAGCTGCAGGTTGGGCTACACCTAATACATTTGCTACATTTTATAATCTACGAATGGAACCAGTTTCTTCTTGAAGTTCTGAACGTGTGTTCTTTGACTTAGGAGACTGGCAGGGTGGAAAGCTTGCTACCAGCGCTCCTCCCCCCAGGGTAATTATGCGCTTATTTAGTCCAGCTCAGGCTCCTTTCATGAACTCTGGACTACCCTTCCATCACATAAGCACACATAGTTGAGGTATACCTATGATGAAAATTACAGGCCTCTCTCATCTTTTTAAGTGGGAGAACTTGCACAGTTGGTGGCTGACTAAATACTTTTTTCCCCCACTGTAGGTTCCCTCGAGTGAAGTCTTGTATTGGGTTAGTGCTCCACATGTAGTGGCTCCTCTTGAGGCCCCATGTGTGTATTCTCCACTGTATTGCCCATGAGGCTCAGTGTTCCCCTAGACAGACATTCTGTCAATAGGCTCTGGGTTTTGGTAGATCTCCCCTTACATGGAGCCCATCCCAGTACCTTCCCTTTGTGGTACTTCCACTGTAAGTTCATAGGTGGCTCTTCACATGTTACCTCCCCATCGGTTAGGATGTAATATCCGTAGTGCCTTTTCCCTAGGGGGAATAGTCACTGTCCCAACATTACTACAAAGACTTTTCAGCTGTTATATTATGGTGAGTATTACTATGGGAATAAGCTCCGGCTGAGGGGACCTCTGCCTCTATGGCGGCTCTCCCGGATGTTGGAGAGTGAAGTCTTGGGCATTGGAAGGTTATGAGGAGGAGAGGTGCATTTGGTTGTGACCCCCGTGGACTCGTGATGCAGTTCGGCAGTTGTGGCGTTTAGTATAGGGACCCCTAGTGTCGTACACTCGACACAACATCGGAGTGAACGACAGAAAGGGAACGTCTCTGTTACGTATGGTAACCCTCGTTCCCTGATGTAGGGAATGGAGATTTCATTGGCCTTTTCTCAAAGATGTCAGAGGTGTTTGGGCTCCCAAGAGCGACCCCTAGTGTCGTATAATAGACACAACGTCTCCGTTCCCTCCATCAGGGAATGAGGGTTACCATACGTAACCAAGATGTCACCCCTAATATTTATACATATATGTGTGTGTATTTATGTATGTATGTGTATTTATATTTATATATATATATATATATATATATATATATATATATATATTTACCTGAATATTTTTGATTTTGAGATGAAATATGACCTGCATTTGTTTTTGACAGGTTTTATGACATTCACCCAAATAGATAACAGACTAACATTTAGCCTTCATCTTAAAAAACAAAAAAAAACAATCATAATTTACATTTGAGGACTTCCCCAAAGCGCTTTTCTCAGGTTGAACTCCCTTTTAGGAACAATATTGTTCCCAAAGCAAAAAAAAAAAAAACACACAGTGACCTTGTTCGTTGTCCTGACAAAGAATAATTTGATCTGTCCCTGACTGTGTTTGTCTCATCAGATCTGTCTCTCTGCTCATATTTCACTGGTGTTAAAGGCTCATGCTGTCGGAAGCTCACTGTCTCATTACAAAACACCCCTCGCTCGCTCTCTGTCTCTCTCTCTCTCTCTCTCTCTCTCTCTCTCTCTCTCTCTCTCTCTCGCTGCAGTAGGGTTGGTGTGTTATTGCGGTGGGGGTTGGATCTGTGTGTGTGTGTGTGTGTGTGTGTGTAAAGTGCAGGTTTCAGCAGGCTGGAGCTCACACACCATTGTCCTCTCAGATCACACTCAGAGAGAGAGTGTGTGCATTTGTGTGCGTGTGAGTGTGTGTGTGTATGAGGACGCTGCATCTTCCCACTGCAGCACTGCTGATGTTCCTGCTCTGAGGAATTCCCTGTTCTGGGATTGTGCGCGTTTGGAGGGACACTAATGGCATCAGAGCTGAACGTCGCGGACGGATCTGCCGTATGGAATAACGCAAGGTGTTTTTTGTGAAAGCGGCTCTCGTGTGTGTGTGTGTTTGTGTGTGTTGGAGAGGCAGGCATGCGGTCGGAGCGCGTGAGTCGTGTGTGTATCGTGGTCCTGGAGGAGGTGGAAGACGACGAACCCTCCCCTCTGCATTCCAAAGCCGCCCCGGACCACATTTCCCAGAATTCCTCTCAGGACGAGAAGGTGAGGTGCTGATTTGACTGCAGGTGGATGATAATGGTGTGTTTGTGTTTGTTGAGTGTGTAAAGCAGCAGTGAACTTCAAAAGAGAGCAAGAAGAAAGTCGAACGGCTGCTTTAGTAGCTGCGTGTCGTGATCCATCGCCGTTATTATCTGCAGACAGATACAGACACGTTCATCCGTCTCTGTCACATCTGATTGGGGTTTCCAGGTGAGGTCCAAAAATTCCCTTCGGAAACCCGGGATCATGTGACTAGGAGCGAGTTGTGGACCTTTGACCTGGATGAAAACGCAGCTGTCAGCAATAGGACACGCTTCACACACAGCACACGTTCGTTCATTTAAAATATACTGTCTTTTATAAAAATTTAACTTTTTAACTCGACATGGCATGAGATGCATCGGAAAGGCCAAAGATGACCATCAGCAATTGCAAAATATAATGTGTGAACAAATCCTTAGGCCGGAAACACACTTTACACAAGTACTGTACAAATGCAGACATAAACAAACCTTGTGCACTCTTTGTTATTTGTTTGATTCATATGAAAAGATTTGTCATGAAGTGAGGCCGCATTTAGTATTTAGATAACATTTTAAAACCTTTTGTCGATTTTCTTTTTCTTATATAATATATATATATTTTTATTATTATTATTATTATAATAATTAATTTAATTATTATTATCTTTAATTAATAAACAAAATCAATAAAAAAAATGTTTTTTAAGTTTAGCTTTGACGAAATGAAATCTAAAATAATTAGGACAAAAAATTCAAGGGGTTTTTAAAGTTGATCTTTGATATAAAATACATGTGCTATGAAATTAATTTTTGTAATTTATCTTTGAAAAAATAAATAAATAAAATTCAACAACAATTTACAATTTATATATATATATAAAATATTTTTAAATGAAAGATATGAAAGATCGTTTTATTTTTTTATGTATTATGTTTTTTCAAAGATAAAAACCTTTTGTAAATGTTTATTTCTTGTTGAATTTGTCTATTCATTCATTCATAATTTTTTTAGATTTTTCTGAATTTTTTTTAGAATTTTATCTAATCTATTTTAGATAATTGTTTTCAAAGATAAATTACAAAAATTAATTTCATAGCAAATTTATTTTATATCAAAGATAAACTTTAAAAACCCCTTGAATTTTTTTATCCTAATTATTTTAGATTTCATTTCGTCAAAGCTAAACTTAAAAAAATTTTTTTTTTATAAATGTATGTTGTTTATTTATGCACGTATATGTTTGTTTTGCTACATTTTAGCCTGTCGTACAGTTACCTTCATATGTCTGAGCCATTATTCAGGGAGTTAAAACATTCACATATATATTGTTGTTCTGTCTTGACTGAATTTGACCTACAAAAGAAAGAGAGGAACACATTTTTGTGCTAATGCTCACTAGCAGTGTTGTGTGTTTTTGTGTTGCACTGTGGATTGTTCTCACACATTTCAAACCAAAATGCATCATGTATAGCTAGAAGTGTTTGTATTCTTGATCAGTGAGTTACAACAGCAGTGTGAATGGAAACTGTAGACTAATTAGCAGGATAATCATCAGTTTAGTGGATGAACCGGACGGGCAGGTTTCAGTTCTGTGGATTTAACCAGCTGGTTTTGTCCTTTAATAGTTAAAAGCATTCTTTGAAGATCAGTCTAAGTGGTTCTGACTGATTTCAGGCAGTTTTCAGGAGCTTCAGGCTCAAGTTTTTGCTGTTGTAACAGGCCACGTTTCCTTAAACAGAGGAAAGCTGCATTCGTTCTTTTACGACGTCCCCTCCTGTTTTTCATTCTCACGTCTGTTTTCAGCTGCTGCATCATGTGTTTGTGAGGTGAATCCACATACAGGCTGCAGCAGGTGTGTGTGTGTGTGTGTGTGTGTGTGTGTGTGTGTGTGTGTGTGTGTGTGTGTGTGTGTGTGTGTGTGTGTGTGTGTGTGTGTGTGTGTGTGTGTGTGTGTGTGTGTGTGTGTGAGAGAGAGAGAGAGAGTATTAGTAGTAATTGTTTACTCTCTCAGAAAAAAAGGTACAAAAGCTGTCACTGGGTTGGTACCCTTTCAAAAGGCACTAATATGTACCATTAAGGTACAAATTTGTACACTTTAGGTACAAATCTGTACCTTTAAAATAATTAAATGCACCTTTTAGTGGTAAATAAGGTACAAAAATGTACCTTTTTAAAGTGACAGCTCTAGTGGTAAATAAGGTACAAAAATGTAGGGGCCATGTTGCACTGCTTTAGAGAAGAGGAAGAGAAAACTAGGTGCACGTAAAAATCTATTCATATATGAATCGTGATTCTGTCTTCTAACGATTCTAATGGATTCACAAGTTTCAAAAGCAGCGGTTCTTAATACTGTTCCTCACGTCCCCCTGCTCTGCACACGCTCTGCATCTCTCTCACTCTCTCTCTCACTCACTCACTCGGCTCAGCTCAGCTCCAACAATGAACTGTTCCATTTATACACTTATTTTCACATAGCTATGAGATATTATACATGGACGCACGTGCGGTTTCCGTACTGTATTAAAGCTTTAATCAGGATAAAAACGTATATTAAAAGCTAACAGAAGCAGTAGCATTTACAAATAACAACATATCTAAAAGTATGAGACAACAAGAAACAAAAAACATACCATTAAGAGCCGTGCATGCACAGGTTCTGCACGATCCTCTTCATTAATATCCTCTGCGTCTCATTCGTGCTCAAACTGATAAGAAATATTAACGACGCATTGTTTACAATACAACCGGCGCGCTTGCCGCTGAGCTGAGGGGCGGGACGATTAGACACGCACTAGAGGCGGTTTAGCCAATCACAACACACTGGGCCAGCTAACCAATCTGAGCCCATCGTGTATTTCTGAGGGAGGGGCTTCATAAAAGCAGGAAATGATCAGCCCGTTTCTCAGAGAAGGGACAGAGTGGTGTAGAATAAAGGTAAATTATGTGAAAAATAATGCGTTTTTTTTAAGCATTAACGCATGTTAGCCTGCACCCCAAAAACACAATGAAGCCTAGAAAAATATTTCTTTAAAAAATACCCCTTTAAATATTTATGCTTTAATTGTAGTTATAGTTTTATTACACTTTTAGTTTTTATTTATTCCCAGTTAATAATTTTAGTTCTTAAAATTAAACTTATTTCAGTTAGTTGCTAAGACAACAATTACATTTTTAACTAATGTTTGTTTTATTTTATTTCAGATTAATTTCAATGAGCAATAATGATTTAGGTTTTGTTTCAGTTGCTTGTATGCTGTATGCTGTAAACACATGCCAAAATAATATTTTCACATGCTGCAGTTATGATTGATATATCAGTATCAGCCAATGTTTATTTAAATTAATACGAAGCAGATAATGTACAGTGTGCTTTAATTTATTTGTTCATTTATTTATTTGCTTCCTACAGTACTTTTTCTATGGCAGGTTTCTGTGTTTGTTTTTTTTAAAGCATCTTTTGTGCTCCATATTTTGACATTGATTAGGATTTGACTTGAAGCATTTACAAGTTGATTGTGGCAAATGTTTTTTTATTTATTTATTTATTAAAAATGTATAACCATATCTACATATCTCACTAGATTAATCTATGCCTAGTATATTCCTCTCCTAACCATGTAGTGTCTTAGATAGATAGATAGATAGATAGATAGATAGATAGATAACCATTTACACTTAGAATCTAGAATTGTGTATGCTTTGCATGCATAACTTCATAACTCATTATTCTTATTATCAGTGACAATGTAAACAATTATTAATGCATCCTCGATATATTCCTTTGACCTGGTTATAAATCTTAATTTGCTTAGTATAAACTGTTGCTTTGATTCAGTCCCTATTTTGTTTAAAGCAACTGAGCGCAGATGGACAGTTTGTCCATATTCTCACGAATGTTGTTAGAACTGATTTAATTCACTATTAAATACACTGATTTCATGCTGCACTTCAATGAATTTTTCTCTTTGGCGTGCTGATGAATCAATGGTTTCTTGTTTTCTTCTCTATATAATAAACCTCTTGATGTCTGATTCTCAGAATTTATTTTCTGCATAGATTAAACACAATGTTATATTCATTTAGTTTCTTTTCATCTTCACACAACATTTAACACAGACGCGGTTACTTGAGACGAGCTTGTCATAATTTGAGTTTTGATTGATATCAGATGTGTTGGTTTGTCTTTCAGAGTTAAAGAAGCTCTTAAATATTGTTTGTAACCATTTCTTCACAGCCCTCTCTGATTAAAGCCATATTTAACGGGGACGCAGATGAAGTTCGCTCTCTCATATTCAAGAAAGAAGACGTCAATGTACAGGTGAATGTCCATTACTTGCAAAAACACATGAACTGTCCCTTGAAGTTCTCTGAAAGTGGTAATTTTTCACATTTTATTGCATCTGGCTGGGTTTTGAGACCAGTTTATTGATTTCTCATTGGTGGATGATCTTGGAAACCCTTCTGAAATGCATGCAGAGGCCGTTCTTGTACATTATTTCTCCTAGTTTCATAATGGATCTTCATCTGAGAGGTTAATAGGCTCTCATGAGCTTGCATTTTAGACTGTTCAATGAGGAGTCTGTTTTCATCGCCAATGCCTGGAGAGACGCCCATTCCACTGCCAGCCAATCACTGATAGGCTGTCGGGTCACGTGACTCGGTGTGGCTTGGCCTCCTGTTTTCCATTCTCATTCCAGACCAGATGGAAAACAGAAGCCTACAGGGTGGCATGACACTGAAGAATGAATGATAGCCACGCTTTAGTAATTGCCTTTATTGATGCAAGTGTCAAACATCCCGGTCGCTTTCCTCAAGCATCTGGAGGAACAGTTAAAGCTGCAGTATAGGTGTTTGCAGTAGATCCTGGGGACCTGAAATAGAGAAATGTGTGTGTGTCTCATGTTTCTGCATGCCGTCTCTAGAGATCTGTGGCCGCATTGATCTCTCTCTCACACACACGCATACAAATGCATCACTGTGTGCCATGCACGAGAATCCAGTGTGTATCATACAGTATAACACACACCCTGCTGAAACCGCACGTACATCAAACACTTCCAAATGGAGAAAAACTCATGCAAATCAGAGGTGATTCGCATAAACATATGTTGCATAAACAACAGACGAGTATAAAACCACCAGCCTCACTCTGTTTTGAGCAGAAATGAGACTGGATGCAGTAGTTGTAGAGTATTTGATTGGTTGATGTGTTTCTCTTGCACCAGTCAGCAAAGGATTTTTTAAAAAGAAATTAATACTTTTATTCAGCAAGGATGCATTGTTGATCAAAAGTGACAGTAAAGACATTTATAATGTCAATTCACCATTATTTATATAGCACTTTTTACAATGCAAATTTCAGTATTAAATGGGGAAATAGTGTGTCTTTCTCCTCTGGCCAGACAAACCCAGCTTAAATCTAGGCTGCAGCAGAGTCAGATTGTGCAGAGGACTCATCTGGTCCCCTTTTGTAATGTTACAAAAGATTTCTATTTCAAACAAATGTTCTTTTGAACTTTCTATTCATCAAAGAAATCTGAAAAAAAAGGTGTCCACAAAATATTGGGCAGCACAAATGTTTTCAACATTGATAACAATGAGAAATGTTTCTTGAGCAGCAAATCAGTACGTTAGAATGATTTCTGAAGGATCACTGAAGACTGGAGTAATGATGCTGAAAATGCAGCTTTGATCACAGGAGTATATTACATTTTAACATATATTCACGTGGAAAATGATTCTTTTGAATTATAATAATATTTCACAACTTTTACTGTATTTTTGATCAAATAAATGCAGCCTTGGTGAGAGACTTCTTGCAAAAACATTGAACCAACTTATCGACCCTAAACTTTTCAAAGCTATCGTATTTGCTGAAATAGTGAAAATAAGTAGATTTTTAAACATAATTTTCCATGAACTGTTGTGTTTGTGAATTCTCAGGACAGTGAGAAGAGAACACCGCTTCACGCTGCTGCTTACCTGGGCGACGCTGAGGTCATAGAGCTGCTCATCCTGTCAGGTATGAAGGGTCATTTCCACCCCAAATGCTCAGAATGAGCGGGGAGAACACAAACCTCGAGTATAGTGACTGAAATATCAGCCAGATTTATTAATAGACCAATATAATGATAGAATTTGGACTGATGGATAAATCTACACTACCATTCAAAAGTTTAGGCTCAGTGAGATTTTTTTAAGTTTTTGATAGAATGCTCTTCTGCTCATCAAGGCTGCATTTATTTGATCAAAAATACAGTAAAAATTGTGAAACATTATTACAATTTAAAATAACTGTGCATTTCTGTGTAAATATATGTTAAAATGTAATTTATTGCTGTGATCAAAGCTGAATTTTCAGCATTACTCCAGTCTTCAGTGTCACATGATCACTTCAGAAATCATTCTGATTTGCTGCTCAAGAAATATAAATATTTTGTAACATTATAAATGTCTTTACTGTCACTTTTGATTAGTTTAATGCATCCTTGCTGAATAAAAGTATTCATATCTTAAAAAAAAAAAGTCTTACAGACCCCAAACTTTTGAACGATAGTGTACAACTATTTGTATTTTCATCTAAACAAAATACATCAATCATTTAAATACAATAGAAACCACCTAGCAACACCTTAGCAACCACTAACGACAACACTGACATTGTGTATATAAAATATGTAACATAAATGAATTAAACTGCAAATAAGTCATATTTGTTTAGCACTACACCAATGACACACTGACAAAACACACACTTCATGTGACGTCTTGAATTGGCCGTGTGTAAAGGAGGAGTTGTTGAATGAAATGAAAGAGTAAAAGTAACAGGTGCTGCCGTATTTTAAGCAGCAGATGTGATCACAGAGCATTTTGGGGGTTTATTTTGAACAGGCTTACAGATAGCTCCATGTGTCCTGCTTCAGCTGTGACATTAAAAATGTAATTCATTCACGCACACATCCTCCCTCTCTCTCTCTCTCTCTCTCTCTCTCTCTCAGGGGCGAGAGTGAATGCCAAAGATAATAAATGGCTCACTCCTCTTCATCGGGCCGTAGCTTCCTGTAGTGAGGTACGACACGTCCTCCAGCGTCAGAACAACAGATATAAACAAATGAAATGGCTTTCAAGCTCATTAATCTGATTGTGTGTTCAGGAGGCTGTGCAGGTGCTGCTGAAACATTCGGCGGATGTCAATGCACGGGATAAGAACTGGCAGACGCCGCTGCATGTGGCCGTGTCCCATAAAGCCGTGCGCTGCGCAGAGGCGTTAGTCCCATTGCTAAGTAACATCAACGTGTCGGACCGCGCCGGACGTACGGCTCTACACCAAGCGGCCTTCAGCGGACACCTGGAGGTCAGGCGCTCAGTTTTTCGCTGTCTACAGATCAGCAGATGCTCAATATCTGCCCGTGCTGGATGTGAGACGTTTGCACAATATACTGTGTGTCATAGCAGAGTTCATGAGACCAGTTTACACCAGGAATGAAACGAAAAGCGAAACAAATTGCAAATGAACAACATATTAACACCAAGAATGCAACAAGAAAGTCTTTGTTCATATACTTTAATGCGAAATACAGAAAGCCATTTAATAATATTAGTTTCACTCATGTTAATGCACTGATATGGTCATTGTGTGATACAGGCCAAAACCACTAGTTAATTGCTTCTATTTTGCATTTTTCTAATCTCACAAATTGCAAAGTTTGGCGTCAGTACGATTCTTTTATTCATCAAGGATGCATTAAATTGATCAAAAGTTACAGTAAAGACATTTATAATGTTACAAAAGTTTTCAGTTTCAAATAAATGCTGTTCATTTGAACTTTCTATTCATCAAAGAATGCTGATTCCACAAAAATATTGGGCAGCACAACTGTTTTCAACATTGATAATAATCAGAAATGTTTCTTGAGCAGCAAATCAGCATATTATACTGATTTCTGAAGATCATGTGACACTGAAGACTGGAGTAATGCTGCTGAAAATTCAGCTTTGATCACAGAAATAAATTACGTTTGAACACATTCACATAGAAAAGAGTTATTTTAAATGATAATAATATTTCACAGTATTACTATTTTACTGTATTTTTGATCAAATAAATGCAGCCTTTGGTGAGCAAAAGGGACTTCTTTTAACAAACTCTCCAAACAAACTGAGACCATCTCAAAAGCCATGTGATCCACAGCTAGTTGACACATCCTTAAAGCATTTTTAGGTGTAGATCTAATAGGTTAGTTAAAACAACCTTTGCATGCCATATCACTTCTGTTTGCTGGACTGGTGTGCTGTGTTTTTCATATCTTCTTCCTGATTGGATATCAACAAATCCAACAGATTGAGGTCTGTCTAGAATGCCGCTGGCAGATACATGACCCAAAAGCTGATATATTATTGATCGGTGAGGTATTTTTCTAGCACATAAGGGAAAAAAAGGACCAGCTCTCCAAACGAAGTCAAATAACAACAAAGATTTTAAGTCATTTTAAGCCATTGCTGTCCTGTTGAAAGTGTGCTGCTGAGGTCCTCTAGACTAGATCTAAATAAAACATCCAGTTTAGTGTTCATGGTGTACTCTGTGGTTTCTCTGTCACTGCAGATGGTTCAGTTGCTGGTGTCCAGAGGTGCAAACGTCAATGCCTCTCTCTCTCTCTCTCTCTCTCTCTCTCTCAGGGGCGAGAGTGAATGCCAAAGATAATAAATGGCTCACTCCTCTTCATCGGGCCGTAGCTTCCTGTAGTGAGGTACGACACGTCCTCCAGCGTCAGAACAACAGATATAAACAAATGAAATGGCTTTCAAGCTCATTAATCTGATTGTGTGTTCAGGAGGCTGTGCAGGTGCTGCTGAAACATTCGGCGGATGTCAATGCACGGGATAAGAACTGGCAGACGCCGCTGCATGTGGCCGTGTCCCATAAAGCCGTGCGCTGCGCAGAGGCGTTAGTCCCATTGCTAAGTAACATCAACGTGTCGGACCGCGCCGGACGTACGGCTCTACACCAAGCGGCCTTCAGCGGACACCTGGAGGTCAGGCGCTCAGTTTTTCGCTGTCTACAGATCAGCAGATGCTCAATATCTGCCCGTGCTGGATGTGAGACGTTTGCACAATATACTGTGTGTCATAGCAAAGTTCATGAGACCAGTTTACACCAGGAATGAAACGAAAAGCGAAACGAATTGCAAATGAACAACATATTAACACCAAGAATGCAACAAGAAAGTCTTTGTTCATATACTTTAATGCGAAATACAGAAAGCCATTTAATAATATTAGTTTCACTCATGTTAATGCACTGATATGGTCATTGTGTGATACAGGCCAAAACCACTAGTTAATTGCTTCTATTTTGCATTTTTCTAATCTCACAAATTGCAAAGTTTGGCGTCAGTACGATTCTTTTATTCATCAAGGATGCATTAAATTGATCAAAAGTTACAGTAAAGACATTTATAATGTTACAAAAGTTTTCAGTTTCAAATAAATGCTGTTCATTTGAACTTTCTATTCATCAAAGAATGCTGATTCCACAAAAATATTGGGCAGCACAACTGTTTTCAACATTGATAATAATCAGAAATGTTTCTTGAGCAGCAAATCAGCATATTATACTGATTTCTGAAGATCATGTGACACTGAAGACTGGAGTAATGCTGCTGAAAATTCAGCTTTGATCACAGAAATAAATTACGTTTGAACACATTCACATAGAAAAGAGTTATTTTAAATGATAATAATATTTCACAGTATTACTATTTTACTGTATTTTTGATCAAATAAATGCAGCCTTTGGTGAGCAAAAGGGACTTCTTTTAACAAACTCTCCAAACAAACTGAGACCATCTCAAAAGCCATGTGATCCACAGCTAGTTGACACATCCTTAAAGCATTTTTAGGTGTAGATCTAATAGGTTAGTTAAAACAACCTTTGCATGCCATATCACTTCTGTTTGCTGGACTGGTGTGCTGTGTTTTTCATATCTTCTTCCTGATTGGATATCAACAAATCCAACAGATTGAGGTCTGTCTAGAATGCCGCTGGCAGATACATGACCCAAAAGCTGATATATTATTGATCGGTGAGGTATTTTTCTAGCACATAAGGGAAAAAAAGGACCAGCTCTCCAAACGAAGTCAAATAACAACAAAGATTTTAAGTCATTTTAAGCCATTGCTGTCCTGTTGAAAGTGTGCTGCTGAGGTCCTCTAGACTAGATCTAAATAAAACATCCAGTTTAGTGTTCATGGTGTACTCTGTGGTTTCTCTGTCACTGCAGATGGTTCAGTTGCTGGTGTCCAGAGGTGCAAACGTCAATGCTTTTGATAAGAAGGACAGACGAGCCGTTCACTGGGCCGCATACATGGGTGAGACGTCAACATCAGGATCAACAGAAAACATGTTTCCATCAGTCTCAGATCAGTGTAGAGCAGATGGATCTCTGTCTGTCGCAGGTCATCTGGAGGTGATGAAGTTTCTGGTGTCTCACTGCGCTGAGGTTTGCTGTAAGGATAAGAAATCCTACAGTCCTCTTCACGCCGCTGCCTCCAGTGGAATGATCAACGTCGTCAAATACCTGCTCAATCTGGGCGTTGATGTAAGTAAGCTCCGCCCACAGCAGATAAAGCTCCGCCCCTTGGTCGCCAAGTGAACCGTGTATTAATGCTCTCATCTTATTCAGTTGCTTAGTTCATTGACTTTAGCATGCATAAGTGTGTTTACGAACACTTTTTAAGAGTCGTACAAGAAAAACCTTGACCCATGGTCTTCAAAATCAATTTGTCAATTAATGCCTTTTTAAATTATATTTATAATTTAATATGCAATGTATAGCCAAATCGACAAAAGTTCAAATTATAATATCATAGAACTCATATTGTTATACCCTGTTTTTCATGCATTATAAAATAATTTAAATCACGTGTTCTGTTGTAACAGGATATATGTTTATCATTAATGTTTTAGTCATCCAACAGATATTAAATATATAATATAATCCAGTGGACTATGTTAAATGTATTAGACTGAATTATTGGCATAAAAGAACTGTTTGACATAATAATTCATCTACATTTAATAATTAATCTACACCAAGGCATTTATTTGATCAAAAATGAAGAGTAAAAACATCAATATTGTGAAATATTTTTACAATTTAAAATCACTGTTTTCTATGTGAATATATTGTAAAATGTAATTTATTGCTGTGATCAAAGCTGAATTTTCAGCATCATTACTCCAGTCTTCAGTGTCACATGAACCTTCTAGTGGCCTAGTTTAATTCTCGTTTAATTTGATTGTATTTACATGGCTTAGATTGTGACCGCCTTGACATGGGGAAGTCGTGGCCTAATGGTTAGAGAGTCGGACTCGTAACCCAAAGGTTGCGGGTTCGAGTCTTGTACCGGCAGGATTGTAGGTGGGGGGAGTGAATGTACAGTGCTCTCTTCCACCTTCAATACCACGACTGAGGTGCCCAAGGCACCGAATCGCCAACTGCTCCCCGGGCGCTGCAGCATAAATGGCTGCCCACTGCTCCGGGTGTGTGTTCACGGTGTGTGTGTGTATGTTCACTGCTGTATGTGTGCACTTTGGATGGTGCAGCATAGCACTAATTCCGAGTATGGGTCACCATACTTGGCCACATGTCACGTCACTAGTCACTATCATGATTACTAATAACCCAGCCAGCTGACCAAAACAGCACCATTAATCACGTGATCGGTGTCTATCTCTTCAGATTAAGGAGCCGAACGCGTATGGAAACTCTGCTCTGCACCTGGCGTGTTTTAACGGGCAGGACGTGGTGGTGAATGAGCTGATCGAAGCAGGTGCTGATGTCAATCAGGTGAATGAGAAGGGCTTCTCCCCGCTGCACTTCACCGCTGCGTCCCGCCAGGGGGCGCTCTGTCTCGAGCTGCTCATCGCCAACAGAGCCAACGTCAACAGCAAGGTCAGAGAGTCCTGCAAGAAAAACCCTCACCACCTCACAATATGTCAATTAAAGTCTTTAAACTATATAATCAGACATGTGTAGCCAGTAACACAAATGCCCTTACTACACACAAACATTCATAAAATTGACACCATTAATGAAATGAAAATTAAACAAATGACAGATGAGAGCAGAGCAAAATGAGAAAGTCTGGATGTTACTAATTCCGAGTATGGGTCACCATACTTGGCCACATGTCACGTCACTAGTCACTATCATGATTACTAATAACCCAGCCAGCTGACCAAAACAGCACCATTAATCACGTGATCGGTGTCTATCTCTTCAGATTAAGGAGCCGAACGCGTATGGAAACTCTGCTCTGCACCTGGCGTGTTTTAACGGGCAGGACGTGGTGGTGAATGAGCTGATCGAAGCAGGTGCTGATGTCAATCAGGTGAATGAGAAGGGCTTCTCCCCGCTGCACTTCACCGCTGCGTCCCGCCAGGGGGCGCTCTGTCTCGAGCTGCTCATCGCCAACAGAGCCAACGTCAACAGCAAGGTCAGAGATTCCTGCAAGAAAAACCCTCACCACCTCACAATATGTCAATTAAAGTCTTTAAACTATATAATCAGACATGTGTAGCCTGTAACACAAATGCCCTTACTACACACAAACATTCATAAAATTGACACCATTAATGAAATGAAAATTAAACAAATGACAGAGCAAAATGAGAAAGTCTGGATGTTCACATGCTTTAATGCAAAATACAGAAAGCCATCTGATTATATACATTTCACTGATGTTAATAGTGTGATACTGTCCAAAACAACTAGTTAAATGTCTATATTTAGCATTTTTCTAACAATATTATAAATTGCATTAAAAAATGCTTTTTTTTCTGAGGCTGCGTGAGATGGAGCAGCTCACACTCTGCAGTCGCGGCTTGTTCGCACACAGCTTCAGCTAATGGCAGGGCAAAACAGACCATTTCGAAAGCGGAATTACGTTTTACCCTACTAGAATTGATGCCGGAAAGTGATCATATTCATAAGTGCAACAAGTCATTTGCATGTGAAAGTAGAAACACGTTCAGTTCAGACGAAACTTCTGGGCTGATTATGACGTGCATATTAACTTTCCTCATGAAATGGGTCTGTGGGCTGTGTAATGTGTGTGAAATCTTTTATTTTTGTTATCACTATGGCAATTTGACTTATAGCAGTGTCCAGTGTTTCCTATACATTGAGTTATTTGTGGCGGCTCATCACAATATCAATTTATTTATTTATGATTTACACCTTTAGGCGCCAGGGATTTTTGGAAAAATGCTGGATTTTGACATCAAGATTTTAAAAGCTTGTGGCTTGAAAGGGATTAAAGATAGAGATTTACTGTAAATTAGAAAAACGTTGGGCATGACCGAAAGTTTATGTGGGGTGTAAATATACTGGTCTAATTTGCATGTTATGACATCATCCGAGGCGGCCATCTTGAATTTCATAATATTCAGGAAATAGTAGATATTGAATTGATGTTTTAACTTATTTGCGAGTTTTTCTTCTTTTTATCCTCATTCCAAATGATCAGGAAAAGAGGAAATCAACAGTAAAACAGGAGAATGTAGTAAATTATCACTATATTACTGTGCCATAGTAAAATGCATGTGCCTATTTTTTGATTAGTTGACCAGCTATCTGCCCAATCAGGTATCTATGTGACATAGTTTATAGTTCTTGAGAGTATGGTACCTTTCATTGCATGGCACAGTGCACAGACCTAACCCACACTGACTGCACCGTGTACCACGGCCACTCCCACCTCTTTGGGGCACTGGATCCAGAGCTGCTCAGACTGGATCCAAAGAGCTAGTGCTACTTCCCGCCCTATTTCTCCTACACCTGCTGTCTCTACCTCTAGCAACAGCTCTCTTATGGACACTACGACCACGTCCACCCCTGCCACCCCCATCCCCGTTGGGCAAAGTGTGATCACTTGTTTGTGCTTCGTGAACACTCTCGCCTTGCACAGCGGCTCCATTGCGCTGCAAAGATGTACCGGGAGAAGTGCGATTATTAGACGGCCGATCGTCATTTCCAAAAGACAAATATTCTCCTTTAGAGCAACCCTCTACATTGCGAGTAAATCACTCGTATTATGCGACTAAATCTTCACTCTGGGCGACTAAATGATGTCTAATATTAGCACAGATGTATTTTCACTCACAGAACAGTTTCACTCTCTGTCAAGCGATCTGTGATATTTTTCAGTTCATTTGAATGGATGCGCAGCGCACCTGTGTTTGTGTATTTGGCGTAACTTAAACTCTAGTGTGAAGGCGCACGAATCACCATCGCTTTCTCTCACACGCGCAAAGAGCGAGAGCGAGCGAGAGTCTTACATAACATGCAGAATTGATGCGCTACATGTAAACGATATACTTTGTTGTATTTTCCTGTAAAAATAGTTCCTTTGGCATTCTTCAGCTTTTAAGAACTGCCGGGTTTTCCTGTAGTGGGCGGAACTAATGCGCAAACGATCTCATTGGCTGGTGCTCACCTAGTATAGTCCCTGTTTTGATTTCAGCGAATCAGTTCGAGCAAACGCACACAACCTGATTAATATTCATGAATCCAGTAGCTCATTAATCCTTAGTGTGTTTTTATATTGTTCTTATAAGTAGAATTCGTATAATAATATCTTATCAGTATTATTGTTCGTTTTTTTTTACAGGAACACTGAATGACCAAAGAGAGCACCAGCCCTAGTCCTAAGTTCATGGTTACCAAGTTTTAATTCTAATTACTAAACTTCTATTATTAAATAATACTTGATTATCATATTATATCATATTATAATGCTTGACTGACTGATATTAAGAGTGTACTTTCAGATATTTCAGATACTTAAAAGGCTGTACCATTTTACAAACATTATATATGCTTGTAAAATGGCATAACTTAATATAATATAATATATATTAGAGCCCGACCGATATAATATCGTTTTGCCGATATTATTGACCGATATGAGTCTGTCACCGATATATCGGTATTGGCGAATATGCCGCCGATATGAACATTTTTTTTACAGAACATATAATGCATATAAAATGCTAGAAATGGTGTAATTACTTAGTTTGTCCAGCAGAGCGAGCTCCATTGTTTGCTACTGGCGACCTGGATGAAACGCTTTAAAGCTTAAGTCTATGGAAAACCATTGAAACTTTGAACGGCCATATCTCCGTAACAGCGCGGCAAATCCGCACCAAATTCGGGGGATCTCTTCAGCTCGAAGAACCCTCTCGAACGCGAATCGAGTGTACGACTCGAGGCCCTCTTTCGAATGAGACCACCCCCACGTCGATAGTCCCCAGGGTTCAGGAGTTACGGGTGGTTAAATTCGCGGTCCAGCGCCGACCGATCTAGTGATCCCGGGGGGCTACCGACGCGCGGAGGGTGGCGTTCGAGAGGGCTCCTCGAGCTGAAGGGATCCTCGAATTTGGTGGAGATCCGCCGGCACGTTCGCGAGATAGTGACACCAGTCAACACTTTCCCTTCAGAAAGGAGGTTTCTTGTTCAGGCAGCATTCATGCGTTGTCTTATTCGACCGTAAGTGCCCTGCGAAGTGGACTTCACATGAAATTCCGCCATGATTCCAGTTCCAAGGGAACGTACACGTTACATTCAAAGGGCATTAAAGTGCACGAGACGTGAATTTATATTGTATTTATTTACAGAGGTAGGGGAGAGCGGGGCACAAAGTAACACTTTTTGACTTTCTCAGTTTGTGTAAATCTACATGGGGTTCAGAATATATATATATTTTTAACCACGGTAATTTTACACTTGTCTAGTACAAATATGTCGCTTTGTTTCATAATTACAGTGTATAATTTTTTTTTTTTATTTACCTCAAAATGAAATAGAAATGAAATGTGACAACATGCCCCGTAGGTGGAACACATTGTAACATCTGAGGGGCACGTTGTAACTTGACCATATGACAGCTTAAAATCTTATCTGATCGAATGAAAAAATATATAAAAGACAAACTAAAATATTTTGTTAATATATATATATTTTTTTTTTTGTTTGTTTGTTTGTTTGTTTGTTTTGTTTAAATAAAATAATGGCGTTTTTTAAGAATTACAAATAATCTGATTTTGATGAACACATTGCAACCATGCTTGGAACGGCTCACATAAACGAGCAAAAATGCTTAACATGTCTTGAAATAATAATTTCTAAACATTAAAAGTTGACTGTCAGTCTTTATTCACCTGTTTCTCGTTGTTTCTCATTAAAATTAATTAAAGTAAATAGTGTAAATTACATCGCTAATGTCATAGAATAGCACATTGTAACGCAGTGTTACAACGTGCCCCATCTGCACAACTGGAATTTAAAACTGGTTAGTGTCTTCTGCTAGTAATCAAAGCATTAAAAAACGATCTGAACTGATAAATAACAGATTGGAGATTAAAATAATAGCAGATTTGTCTAATTTTAAATGAATGATAAAAACTCAGATAAAAAAATTTACTTAAGCCAGAATTTAAATGTTACTATGGTAAAATAAATATTCAAACCACGTGTTACAACTAACACCCCATTACTTTGTGCATCGCACTCATCGCAAGTTTATTGTTAAATTGTTAAATGCCCTTACATATCTCTGTCACAATTATAAGTGTTTGATCACCACATTTGAGTGATCATTGCAAAAAATGTGTTTATGTATATATATTCTGTTTTTGTATATACTGTATTCTATATATAGTACCATTCAAATGTTTGGACACACGAATGGGAAAATGTCCAAACTTTTGACTGGTACTGTACTATAATATACACAAAGAATATCGGCCGATATATCGGTATCGGTCTTTTTTTTTAACTCCCTAATATCGGTATTGGCCCCAAAAAACCCATATCGGTCGG